CATATAAATGTAATCAATCAATCAATCAATCAATAATGAAGATACTAAAGCAGTTTCAGAAGCAATAGATACCTTCTGCTTTTTAGGCTCAATCATCAGGAGAAAAGGAATAATCTAGTGAAGAAAGAGTAGCACCAGTGAACTTCCAATGAAAGCCTTGGAAAAGACATTCCATGTGGCATGCAGTGTCCTAAATCTACAAATATTAGACTAGGGCAAGCAATGGTATTCCTTCTAATACTCTATGGAAGTGAAAAAGTTAGACTTTGAAGAAAAGAGTATTGGCATTTTTGAAATTTGATGTTGAGAAAATACCATGAGACAGCCAAGAAAATAAATCTATCAAAAAACTCAAATCCAACCAGAGTTCTCACTTGAGGCATTAATTAGCAGGCTCATATTATCTTGTTTTGGACACATTATGCAAAGACCTAGTTCTCTGAAGAAGGCTCTGATGCTGAAAAAAGGAGAAGGAAAGAGGAGACGAAGAAAGCCAAAAGCAAGGTAGATAGACTCAATTATATTGTCAATGGGCACTTCATTAGGGACAGATTGTCCTAGAGAAATTCTCTGTATAACTGTTAAGTCGTTGGACATAAGATGAGTGGCAAATAAATTTTAAACAAACAAACAAACACACAAACACACACACACACACACACACACACACACTATAGAAATCAATTCTTGAGTTTATTTCCTTTCATTCCTGAACAAGCCTTTGACCATTCAGGGTCACTATGTCCTCTACTGGAACAATAAATGTTTTATGGAAATGAATGCAAATTAGTTGTGATTCCCCTGACTCTTTGGGATCTCAGGCAATAGTATTACAGTAAATCCTCTGCCTTTACTCTTTGCTTTTTCAATCTATTGCCTTTTTATGTCCCCAAAGAGTCTCCTGTTTTAATCTAAGTCATTCAGTGATCTTTATTCATATAGCATTGAAAATTGCCTGTTTATCACATTAAACACAAGAAATTATATAATTCCCTAATATATATGAATTCATTTATTTCCTTAAATGCACAAGTGAGCATCAACCTGACTTTCACTAAAGAAGCACTCTTTGTCATTTCTTTACTATGCAATAAAGCAGAAGAGTACTTTTTTTTCAGAAATTGAATAAACAGATTCAAAATTGGTAAACTAGTAGTTTTAACATCAGTAATTGCACTTAAAATCTAAGATTTATATAAAGCAATAACCAATAACCTTTTTGTGGGTGCAGTGCGAAATTAATTTCCCTATCCCAGTTGTAAAAAAGATATGCAATACATGGGGAATGAACAAAGTACATTCCATATTTTAAAATATGCACCAATGGCCCGTCATAAAAATTATTTTATTAATGATATTTATTTTCATAGTAATTTCTGGTTTAAATCCTGGAAATGTTTGCTTGATCTTGGATGTCCTTATAAACAAAATATAAACATGTAAAAAGGGCACCAAGCATCATTTTTAACAACAAATGTGGTTTAATATTGTCTGTTATTGTCTGGTACGTCTCATTATGTTCAGTGGTGGGTTGCTAACAGTTCGCACCAATTCAGGCGAACTGGTAGTGGAAATTGGGACTGGGTCGCTGAACCAGTAGGGATGTCCACGCCCTCGAACCGGTTCCCCGGTTCCCGCTGCCAGCTTGTTTTTTAATCATTTTTTCATGTTCTGCACATGTGCAGAACAATTTGAAGTCTACTGCGCATGCGCATGCTGCCCATGTCTGGCACACGTGCAAAGCAAACCAGCAGCAATGCCGGCAGTAACCCACCCCAATTACGGTATGTATGTTCAAGCAAAGTATGATTTAAATACTACAGAAATGTATTTGGAGATTGTATATTATATGATGATACATTTTTAGGTATCAATGAAAGAGCACGAGTTTTGCATGTAGAAAATAACAGGTTCAATAAAAATAATGCAGACGTTGTCTACCAATAACTTTAAAGAGACTGACATGCAGAATAGACATTAGCCTGCATTCTCCTCAGTGACAGAACCTGCCCTAGGGATTAGGGTGACATTGGCCATATTTGCCTCTCATGAGTTTGGGCCACCAACCATTTCTGGAGGGCAGGAATAAATGATGTTGCTTTCTATTCACCTTCAATTCATCGTAAATAGAATGTCTGCCTGTATTTTCCTATTTCAAGATGAAAATAATGTTTTTTGGCTTATGCTGGCTCAAGTTCTGTAGTTCAGTTTGCATGCTGGGTTTTACATTGTCTTAGGCAACCCACTTTAATTTGATCAGCCACTGCACAAAGGTAGGAACAGTCTTATCTCATTTCTCTTTGTTTCCTTCAAAATGGCCTGATGAAGCTTCTGAATGCCTCGCCATTTATGACATTTGCTTGACATGCAGAATATCCTATTTTGAAATCTGACACAAATTGTTTCACACTCATGTGTGCACACACTTGGGTGGGTGGGGAAGAGAGATTTTCCATTATTGAGCTACCTATTTTCCAGCTGGATTTTTTTAAAAAAAAGAACGTTTTATAGATTTTCTAGTCAGTTAAGTTAAAAGTGTTTCACTTCCAACTTTTGAGGTAATAGTCCAATCAAGGACATTCTCCATATCTACCATATGGAAGTGGGTTGGCATGGATTAAAGAAGTTTTCTTTGTTTCTGTGTGCCATAAAGTCAAATGACAATAAAATGGAAAAGGCCTGAAATAACTCTATATAAAGTTTATCATGCCAGCTGAGTCCTTAGCTCATTAACAGTTCATGCCCAGAACAAACAGTTTTAAGGTGTACTGACAATCTGCTGTATTGCTTGTGATCTTCTTGACCTTTGGAACTAGAACAAGAAACAGTGTCTAAAAGATAAGCATAACAGGATATGGAGTTAGGGGGAAAAATCAAGAGATAAAAATGCATGGGTGGCTATATTGTTTCAGAAACTTACATCACTAGAAACGGCTTGTTTCTGTTGTTCAGCCACTGGAGAATCGTTAATAATCCAGATAAGGCAAGAATTAAAGTATTTCTGCTCAAGAATACAAGGATGTACTGTAGCAACTCATAATAATGCTATATTGTTTACAGCTATGTACCTACCTAAGAGTTGCACTCCACGAGTGAGTCCATAGACATCAATCAAAGCCCACAATGGTTCAGTTGTCCTTACCCCACTGAAGAATAACATGGCAGCAGAATCATTCACACGATAAAATACACGTCCCTTTTTATCCACCCAGAACGCTATGATATTTCCTTCGTTTGCAAACTCTTCTGGAAGAGCCTTTGCCCAAAATCCACTTTGAGAAACCAGATCTGGGCATGCATACTTGGGCAGAGTTTCTGGATTAATCCTAGAGGGATCCTTGGACGTAAATCCCAGTCGAAGAGCTCCACTCCAACAACACTGCTTCTTTGTGATCTAAAAGGGAAAAACAGAACAAGAACAATATAATTACTTGGCCTCTTTATTAGGTATGCATAGGATTAGGAATATGAATGCATAAGGAAGTTTAACATATCTAACAATCTGATGGTGGAGATATACGGAGGAAGAAATTGTGCTTGCATAAAGTGTGCAAATATGAATACAATATGTTATGAAATCTATTTTGAAAGGAATGAGGATGTGATACAAAATATTGTAACAATAGGTTGTGTGTCGTTCGCAAGCATCATGGTGATGTCTAGAGGCAATTTCACAGTAATTCCATTGTTAGCGTGATTTAATCCATATAATGCAATCTTTGTCTATAAATCTAACTTGCCTGTTCCTGGCAAATGTGGTGACTTAATGCAATCCGGGGATATATTTTGCTGTCCCATCCATGCACAAATAACACCTGGCTGCAGAAATTGGAAAATGCAGTAATGGGGGGGGGGGGAGTGCTTAAGTAGCATGGCATTGTTTCATTGCTTGAGCACTTGTTTGAATAAGGATTTTTACTATTATTGAAGCATCATTCAACAAAATATGATTAGTGGTTCCACGTTTATTTAATATAATATATCCTTTTTCACATCTATAATGGAAAATTTTAATGGGAGAGAGTGACACACACACACAGAAAATAGCATGTGCTAGGACATTTTAAAATAAAGCTTACAGATGTGGAGAAACAAAACATATCTAGCCCTCCTCTCCAGCACGCAAAAGAAAATGGGCAAATAGAGATTTTATTTGAAGAAAGTCCAGCTATTGGTACCACAATACTATTATCTGTAGCTGAGTAAAGTTCCTTAGCTGAGCAAATAATTTATTGCTGCATCATCAACTCTAGACATAAATCATACTCCCAGCTAATTCAATTTGTTATTGAAATATAGAGGAGAAAAAGAATAAAAATCTTGATACAATCTTGATTCAAGACCAGAATTGATAGTACAATTTGCTAAAACTAATTTTTTTCTCAAGATAATAATTTTTAGAGGAACGTTTGCTATCTGAAGAGAATGTTGAATCTCTGAATGCTCCATCTTTTCTCTTAGAAAGAGAAGAAAAACAAAAGATTTTTCCAGGTCTCATGGACAACTTCATTCAAAGGGATGGGCACCATAACAGAGAAGGGACAGCTTCCTGCTAAATTGAGAGAACTCAGAATATACCAACTTCACCAATCAAATTGCTTCTGCAAAATACGAAATCTCCTTCAGTATGGAAACATATGAGAAAATACTGCAAAGACTGGCATATCAAGCCAATGTTTGTGTTATAAATACAGAAAGTGGAAAGAAGCACCAACTCACCTTAAGTCTAATTTGCTCATAGATGACTATTGGCCTGTTGCTGAAGGTGATGGCGTTGCAGAAACTTGCCTGTCGCTTGACCACTTTCTGAGTGGTATCCATGATGATCTGTGACCCCTTGGTGCGAGGATGGAAAAGCAGTGGGCTGACCGAGAGAGTCCCACACTGTGAAATGGGTAGACAGTGCTTTTGCTTGTGGTGGCATCGATGAGAAGAAGCAGGAAAGGACCCACCAATGGAATCTTAGACAAAATTAAGGAGAGAGAGATCTGATCTTTAAATAAAACAAAAATGAACCACTATTGGTAAAAAACATTGACTGAAATCATTGCTTAGCTATGAGACTATTGCAACTTATAAAAAATGCAGTATAACATAAACTACAATATAAACAACATAAATAGCCACAATATAACTATACATATTTAAGCCAAGGGACTATATGGCATTCAAAACACTTTTTGTAGATTGCAAAATGTTCTTTGGTGACAATTGTTTAATATCAGTAATTCAGAATAAATTTTGTAAAATAAATTCTAGCTGAAACTACATATAGAAGGGAAAGAATAAGTGTACTGCATTTTCTGTATTTACTGTATTTGTCAGCAATTAGTTCCAGATTTTAACTAAATCTAGAAATTGATAGAAAATATATAAGAGTATATAGTAAAAATACAAAGTAAATTGATGAGGTTACCTAGCTGCATAGTGAAACGTCTTCAGGTTTACAACCAAGCTCAAAGAGCACCAAGGACTCCATAGTTCAATGAATGGATAGCATTTATGGTTTGCCATGAAAACCTGGAAATAACACTAGGATAACCAAATACAATATGACATACAGGCAGTCCCTGGATTAAGAACATTCAATTTATGGACAACTCATACTTACAAATGGAATGGCAGACAGTTGAATGTCAGTGTGATCTGACTTAAAATGGTAAGCAGTATTCTCTTTCCTTGAACCAACAAGTCTGCTGAAGCTATGCAATGTTTTCGTGATGTGGTGCATATGTTTTTTAATATATAGCCTATTTTCAGTGATTTTCAGTGGTTCATTAAAAAAAGCATTGCACATTGATCTGAATTCTGCACACAGTAATGAATTTTAGGTCAGGCACTAAATACAGGAAATACCATAGCAAATCAATTTGAAAGTAAATAGTATTGAACACTGATACCTAATATTTGTTTCTCTTTCCTGTCCAGTAGTGTTGTGCAGATGAATAGAGATACGCTAAACCTTCAGTTTTCATTAGTGTAGAATTCTCACTGAGTGTAAACAGAAATTGACATTGGAAACACCAGCCATGTAAAAGGAGAATCTAGTTGTGAATATTTAATGATCATCGTTTATTTCCGTGGTCTACAAATCAATGTGAATGTTGTCTGCTTTCCTTCAATAGGCCTCTCAAGTAGTGCAGATTTTTTTAAAAATCACTCTGTTGCTAAATATAAACTAACAGTTAATCTTTTGGAAGGAAGAAAGAAAAAATGCTGGTCATAGTATTTGGGGATCTAGTTCTGGAATATTTTTTAAAGTGCCAGTGTTCTCTTCTAGTTTAATTACAATGTAATGGAAAGCTTATCTCGGGCATATTTTCTATGCAGATTGCTGTAACTTGGAAGCTATCCTATTAAATTTCAACAAGATTATAAATCAGAATATAGTTCAGAGATGGAAAAGATGGAAGAAGCCAGGAACAATAGGAAGATATGAAATGATAAAGAACCTTAATAAGAATTCATATAGAAATACATGGCAATGGTGCAGTGTATAAATTCAAGAACAGCTATGAATTTTACTGGCGACAGTGCATACCAAAAAAGAAATAATGAGGTCTTTTGGAAATTACATTGAATGCTGAATAATTTGTTAAGGCACAAAAATAAATAATACATTTATTGGTCTCAATCATTCTGATCCACTCACTAGTTCATAGCATGGTCCTTAACATGCTATTCAAAGATAAAGCAGAGTCCTGAACCAAGAAATATATGTGAATGGTTCTACTGATCTATTCATGAACAAAAATACCACAATGGGAATTATATTGATAAGTAAAAAAAACTGGGATCTTGAATTTCTCAGAAGAAAAGGAAAGCAAAAGGGCAAATGTTTATATTTCTGGGAAAATGAACTCTTCCAGAAATTATTTCAATGTAAAATAATCTAACTTGAGATAAACGTAAAGAAGTAATAAACAAGTCCCAAATGATAGAAGAGAACCAATAAAGTTTTAAAGAGCACGAAAATTTTCTTGCAAGGTTATTTATTTTCTATTTTAACATATGTTCTATGTTTCAATAAATCTTTTTTATTGCCCAAATCAAGGAGACAAGAGGGAATAGACATTCTGGCAAAAAGATTTTAAGGGAAGGGGAACTAATATTTGGAGTACTTACTCCTCAAAATATTATGTCAAGCAATAAATAAATATAATACATCAGAGTGCTAGAAACTTTGAACTGACCACTAGAACATGACAGGGAAAACTCTGTTAAGGGATACAGACCTGTACAGAACCTACATATTTATATATTTTACTGTGTATATGGTAGTTTAAAATAATAATGAAGAAAGATTACTAAGAGCAAAATCTTCTTAACTGATATTTGCATTCTGCTAAAAAAACGAAGGACTAATATCTGATAAGCTATGAAGCATTTTGAGGAGAGACCTTGTTTCATTCAGAGGCTTGGTGCCAGAATAAATGGTATTTATTTACTGTTTCAGGGAGAAACAATGGAAGAGAATGAATGTTTGGTTTATGTTTTCTTCTAGGCTAAGAACATAGCTAAAGTTGAAGATGTTTAGAACTCTCCAGACCCTTTCATTTTTTTTTCATTCAAAACAACTAGTGCTGCTAAAAGTACATCTCTTAGATTAAATGCTTCACCTGCCATGTCAAATTTTCCTTCTGAGGCTACAACCCTTTTTTTTATCTTGGAGAGAAAAATTAGAAAAATTATATAGTTTTCTGGATTTTCTTCACTGCCCAAGGAGATTGCTCAAAAATAGATACTTAATAGGGTGTGTTCTAGGTTTAACTGCAGAATGAAAAATTATTTTTATTTATTTATTTGTATTTCATCTTTATTAGTTTTAGAACTAATTCAAGGCAGCAAACCTATCCAATGCACCTTCCTGCTACTATTTTCCCCACAATATCCTGGTGAGGTGAATTAGGCTGAGATAGAGTAACTGGCCCAAAGTCATCCAGTTGACATAGCTAAGGCAGGACTTGAACTCCTCTGGTTTTAAACCTGGTGCCATAACCACTAGACCAAATTAGCTCTCTATTTTAAAATACTATATTTTTCGCACTATAAGATACTCTGGACCATAAGACACACCTAGCTTTTGGAGAAGAAAACAAGAAAAAAAATCTGCCTCTGCCTTCCAGCAATTTGCCTCCTTGCAGCAAATAGTAAACAACTTAGTCAGCTTCAGCACAGCCTGATTTAGCATGAGCAGCTGATTGGCGGTTGGATCTGCCTCCTAGAATACCACCAATCAGCTGTTCCAGGCTGCGGGGATCGCCACCACCTATCACCACCATCGCTGCCTATTGCCACCTCTACCTATTGCCACCTCCACATGACCCATTTTCAGCCTCCAATGCCTCATTTTCGGCCTCCGTTCAGAGATGGCGGCGGCAGCAGCGATCCCCACAGCCTGGAAAAGTGGATCAGCGGTATTCCGGGAGACCAATACAACTGCCAATCAGCTACTTGTGTTAAATCAGCCTGTGCTTAAGCTGACCAGGCTGTTTGCTGCAAGGAAGCAAATTGCTAAGAGGCAGAGGCCGAAGGGTGGGAGCCGGTGGGTGGGCAGGGCTTCCACAACATTTGCTCTATAAGACGTACAGACATTTCCACCCACTTTGGGGAGAGGGAAGTGTGTCTTATAGACCAAAAAATACGGTAATTATAATAACTATTTATTTATAATTTTTATATATGACCCTCTAACAAAAGTATCTATTATTAAAGTGGATCTTTTTATCTGAAGACTAAGAATTCATGCAATATTTGGGCAGAAGAGGAGAGTGACTGGCCCAGGGCTACCCAATTGGTTTTCACAGCTAAAGTGGGACTAGAACTCACAGTCTCCTAGTTTTTCGTCTGGTGCCTTAACCACTAAACAAAACTGGGCCTCTTTATGGTGGGTGTTCTGATTTTTGGATCCAGAAAACATGTCCAACCTTTCCAATATTCTTTTTGCAAAATCAGTTTTTAAAAACTGACAAGTTAAAATGGAGTCATTTTGAAAACAATTTAGTTTATACATAGAGATTAATATAATTATAGTACTATCAGCTAGCATAATTATTTAATTCATGAATTTCTAAACAGAGAGATGACATTTAAAGGCATGCAAACCTATGTCCAAAAATGGTGAAAGCAAGTGTTTTACAACAATATGCCAAGATACAAGATGAGCTAACCATGTCTTTCTCTGTTTTGGTTTATTCTTGGTTTTGCTCTTACTTTTTTTGTGCTTTGTATCAGAGGTGGGTTTCAAATCCCAGCACTACTGATTTGCTCATACTTACTTGTGCCCTCGCGCAGAAGTGTCCAGGTGAGTGGAGCCTCCCACCGCCACCACTACCTGTTCGGCCGATCTGGGCTGAACCAGGAGCAACCCACCTCTGCTTTGTATATATTGCTTGCCCCCAAAGAAAGTAGCAAGAGAAATATGTATGTATGAATTAGCATTCTCTTCAGGTAATTAAGAAGCAGGGTTATTTTTACCATTCTCAGATTAGTCTAAAGCAGTATCAACATAACTTGTCTTGGCAAGATGGGTGACATAGAAGCTTAATAATAAATGAACATTACTTTCATTTTTAAACTCATTTCTCCTGATTTTGACAAAGCAGATAGTAGGTTAGGAACCAGTAATACATTTGAGTAAATGTAGATTGTAGAATTAGAGTGTTTCTACATTTATTATTTATTAATTTTTCTAATGTTATTAGCAAAAGTTTCTGATTTTGAATTTTCCAATAATAGCAGAAAAGGAGTATCCTAATCATATGCACAGTACCTTAAATTATCCTGTTAAAATGAATGATGCCTGATATAACAAGGAATGGAATTTTGTTAAGAAGAGCTAAAATTTCTATTCAGTTCTGAAATTAAATATAAATACAATTGTTTTGTACCAAGGTGTGGTTAATGGATCTTCAAGTTCCGCTTTAAAAAAACAATACCACAGCATAAAATTTATCCTACT